GGTCTTGATATTTGGGTGTTGAATTTCCGAAATTTATTTTCTCTATAAGCACTTTCTTTATATAATGCCATTCTATAAAGGTAGTTATTGACATTGATATTCTACACAGGGGTAATAATGTTTTTGTTCAGATGTGACTGCACATTGGCAATGGATAGGCTGATCCAAAGAAGAGTTCTCTAAGGCCGTAAACCACAAAGGAAGAGAGAGCTCATTTTCCTCCCTCATAGCCTCTGGTGGACTTTAATGACCAAAGGCACTCCACCTTTGTTTCATCAATGCAACTCCCTGCAGTTATGCCACAAGAACTCCCTCCAGCCTTGCAACATAAAATAAACAATTAAGAAATTTAAAAAAAGACAGTAGCCAGCTTCCTGTTCTGCTTCTCCTAAAGGATAGGAAGAACTGGAATTGATTTACATTACATTAAAATTACTCACAAATGAATATACTTGCCAGACCTATGGTCATGATCAACTCGAGGAACAGACTGGCTGTTCGTTGGTAGAGAGCTGGATGAGGGAGTAGAAGTTATTTGAAACAACTCTTCCTCTTAGCAATCTTCCTCTCCCATCACTCTTGTTCATATCTCTCAAGGAAAGAAAAATTAATAGTAGATATGTATCATTTTTTGTATCAAACAGATAATTATCTTTTTTGGAGGGGATAGTAATTTTTTTTTTAAAAAAAAGAATTCAAGGACTTTTCTGGTCTTCTTTTTCTTTTTAATAATAATAACCTGTTACATAATCCTACCTTACCACAAATACTTTCTAGAACTTAACAGTTGCTTGAAAGAGTTAATTGTTATTTAGAATTGTTTGAAAGGATTACCTCACATGAAGATAGGCCATGTCTAATTTTGTTATTTAAATGTATGTTTTGCAAATCCCTACATTTTACTTTGTCAAGCTCAGTGTTATAGTCCTTAGGGAGATGTACTGCCAACCCCAAAGGCCATGTCTCTCTGCTAATGTGAATCCACTGGTGACATTTTAGGAGAAAGTTAGGTAACGTTCGTTCTTCCTTGTGATTTACAACCTTATAAAGGCAATGGAAGGTTGGCTATGCATCAGTTCCAACTGGATGGTATTGAACAAGTGAAATACTATATTGAAGTCACAGTCTTTGTGGCCCAGTGGTATGAAGCAAAACAAATGTAGTAAATGTAAAACAAGTGTAACTTGTGGATTGTTTGTTTTTATGTCAAATAACCTAAGAAATCACATCTACAATATATCTTTTTTGTGTGTGTGGTCTTGTTTCAGTGGTGGGAAATGATGGATTTTATGTAATACTCAAAGGGATAGCTCGACCCCAAACAAGGGTGGAGAAATGTCTGATCAAAGAAAAGGAAAGAAGTACCTTCAGGCCTCAACATATCCAAAGTTCACTTTACAAGGACTGCACCAAAAGTTCTTCACTTCCGGATATATACCTCTGCTCACAGGCTTCATTGGTAAGAGACATTTGCTCATCCTGTAAGAAACAAGATGTGATAGTTAAGATTATATGTCAAGTTTTATCCCTATAATTGATTTGACATTTGTGATGTAATCGTTCCTTTGGTGAGATACAATATAATGTAATTATCATGTTGATGAAGTTTTATCTAATATGAATTATCTCTAAGATGAGATCAGCTAATTGATTGAAGGGGACTTTCCTTGGGGTGTGGCTGGCATTAAATATATAGGAACATCTGGAAAAGCTTGCTGCTGCTCTTTGCTTGGTTTGAATCTTGCATCTGACTCCTCAGGCCATCATCACCATCTGTCCTCCAGTATTTTAGACTTGAACCAGGGAACATGTTTCCTGGAAGACAGGATTCATCAGTCCTGGAACCAAGTGGTTTGCTCTTTTACTCACAGTCTCCAATTCATCAGCCACTATAGCTACATGAGGCTAGATAACTCTTCTAGACGGATATGTCAACTTACTCAAGATTGGGACTTGTTAACTTTACGAACATGTGAGGCATTTCTTTGACATAAGTATCTCCCTTGGCTTTATTTCTCTAAGGAACCCAATCTAAGACACAGATTGCCTTCTTGACAAATTGTATTTAATCTACATATTTTCATTCTAATATACATGTATATATTGTTATTAAACACACAGATTTTATATCTATACTTATAATATGTATGCAGATACAGATAATTGAGTTTCACCATCAATAGTAATCAAAATTCCATCAGTAAAGTTATTATGTGCCATCGAGTATCAGACTCATAGTGATCCTATGCACAGTAGCTCTGAGTCCTATTCTATCCTGAGCCAGTCCCACTGCCTCTGACCCATCTTCCCTCGTTACTTCAGTTACTGTGTCAATCCATCTCATCTGAGGTCTTCCTCTCCTGTGCTGTTCCTCCACCCATCTAATCATGATGTCCTTCTCCAATGACTGATCCCTTCTGGCAATATATCCAAAGTATGTGAGACAGACTTCAAAATCTTCACCTCCAGAGAACAACTTTCACTCTTTCCAGGACAGATCTGGTTTTTGTTTTTGCAGTCCATGGTATGTTTAAGAATTTTTTCCAGCACCACAACTTGAAGGCATTGATTCTTCTGTCATCTTAGTCATTGTCCAGCTTTCTGATGCATAGCAAGTAACAACAAAGACCATGGCTTGTATCAGGCATGTTTTTGTCTCTAGACTGACAATGTTGCTTGTTAGCGCTCTAGAGAGGTGCCTGATAATAGGTTTTCTTAATGCAATTAATCTTTTTATTTCCTGTCTACTAATGCTAAGAGTGCTGATTGTGGAACTGAGCAAGCTGAAATTGCCAATGATCCCAATCTCTTCTCAACTATCATGGTGCTATAAATAAGCCCAGTGGTGAGAATCTTTATTTTCTTGATATTGAACTTCAATTCATATTTCAGATTAAAGTCTTTGACCTTCTGCAGCAGATGCTTCAGGTCCCTCTCAGCAAACAAAGCTGTTTCATCTGCATAATACAGGTTGTTGATGAGTCTTCTTCCAATCCTGATTCCACATTCTTCCTCATAAAATCCAGCCTCCCGAATGATCTGTTCTACACATAGATTGAAAAGATATGAATACAAGACTCTTATTGGTAGTGAATTTAAAATTTGTCTCAAAAATTTTGATGTGAGCTATCTCTACTACTATCTATCAACTGTCCTCTGTAAGGGTTTTGTTGTTGTTGTTATTTTTGTTAACAGACATGACTAGAGAGGCACATGTGAAAGACATTTGAAATATTAGAGAAAGACTAGATTATTTAAAAAATGAAAGACAAAAAACAGGAATGAAATATATTTTAAGTTAAATTAAGACCATGTATGTTATACATTGAAATATATCCTTAGAAAGGGTACGTTGTAATTCTAATCTTTGTATCGATGAATAAGAGTAGTAGTGGTGGTAGTGTGTTGTTACATATTAGACTACTTGTCAAAATACTAGTGATTGGACTCAACAAGCTGATCTTCCGGAGAATGAGGAGGCAAACTAGTCTCATAAAAATGTAAAGCCTGGAAACACAAAGGAGGGTTGCCTTGAGTCAGAATTGACTTGAGAACAATAGGTTTAGTGTCAATGTGGTTAAGTCATTAGATTATGTTTATATTAAGACTTCAAAGCCCATATCCAATTCAACATGAGGTTTGCATATCCAACTTCTGAGGAGGAAGAAGGGAGAATGTAAATGTCCAGAAAGGGAGAAGTCCTGAAAAGATTTACAACACACACAGGTGCTTATGTTTCAGAGGAAGTGAAAGGAGGTAGGTTGTGAAAGAAAAGATTAAAGGCACAGACTTATCTGGTGCCCAAGAGCTGCCTGAGATGGGGAAGCTGTGATAAAGTGAAAGAAGTAAGAAAAGAAAGCCAAGAAAGTGACTATTATTACAAGGAATAAATGTGGTAAAGCTAGCTGTGTTCTCATAATTATATTGTTCCATGTAAATTTTTCATTAATTTTTCATTATCTTTATGAGATATTTGTGGAGACTACCTGAGTATCTTTCCACATTTGTGAATGAGGAGTTAGTTGTGTTTCCTAAGAAATTTATACTTAGTAAAAATGTGAAAAAAAGAAAATAAAATATCTGTGCAACTTTATTATTCTCTTATTAGAAGGTCAATAAAAGAGGACTGGTTTCAAAGTGTATGTTTTATATATTAAAAAATCAATAAAGTGGTCTCTAGTAGTAATCAAGGTATTTCACTGTTAATGTTGCTCTTTTATATTCAGTTCATGCAAACTCTATAGATTGGTATTTTTAACAGTAAATAATGAGGCAATCCCATTATTTTTAGATTAAATTATTTTTATAAATAATCAACTTTATATATAGTAAGATTAATAGTAGAATGTTTAATTGTTGTTGTTGTTGATTGTTGTCGAGTCAAGCACAAGTCATAGTGACCCTACGAACAAAAGGCATGAAGCCTTTCTATGATTATAGACATTAATCAAAGTTCATAGAGTTTCTGGAGGCATGTTGTTTAGGAAATGGATGCCATTTCTGCTTCCAAACCTGTCTTAAACTGGGAGCTCCACCAAACACTGTCTGCCATAGGTAACCATTATGGCATTTGACACTCCAATGACACAAGGTTCAGCATCACAGAAACCCGGGTTATCTCTTTCCAGCATATTGATAGGAGAGTACTATACCACTTAGAAGAATGTTCCTCTAAAATATAACAAGTGACTTCTAAATACAAAGGCCATCCCTGAGGTCTTAACTGACTCTAAACAAGTGGCTTAAATAAATTTAAACAAAACAAAAAAAACCCCAAACCCAAACCCAATATAGTATGTTGTTGTTATGCGCCATTTAGTCATCTTTTATTGTGTGTTCAAATTTTATTTTTTCTTCTAGTTCAGTATGATTTCTAAAACAAATAAAATACTGACATGTAGAACTTTAGTTAATGTTTTCCATCTTATCTACTGTATTTCTTGTTTTCTGAGGACTCTTTTAAACAAATTTTTTTTGGATTTTCTCCATTTTAACCGCTAATTCTTTAAAGATATTAGAAAAAAAAAGCTTTGTCTTGCAAACTGCAGAATACATTTTATTTCAGATGAATAATATCTTCCTTTTTGAAATACTCAAGATCATTAGTTATAGCTGTTGCTGCTGTTAGTGTCATTGAGTTGGATACAATTCATAGCAACCCTATGAAAAGTATGTCTGAATCTATCCTATCCTGTACTATCTTCATCATCTCTGTTGTTGCTGTTACTGTTGAGTTGGAACTTAC